TGGGAAGGCCTAGCCTCCTCGCCTCCGGCTTCTGCCAGGCGCTGAAAAGAGGCTGACGCGTAAAAGGGCGCTTCGGGCAGGAGGCTTAAGGATAAGGGCGGCAGCTGAGGTGGAGCGGACAATAGCGGCTGCGCTTCCCTTCTTCCACCTGACTTGCAGGCCGGGGTTGATGCGATTTGTAGGCCCAGAAGCCCTTGTGTTTCCTCGCTGAAATATATTCTTTAGATTAGAAGACTATCCAGAAGGGGTCCTTGGTGCTCTCTTGAGCTTGCTGGTTTTCTTGCAGGCGTCTCGTTACCCAAACTAGGCAGCAATAAGCAATAGCACTTAGACTTATATACCGCTTCACGGTGCCTTACAGCCCTTTGTAAGCAGTTTACAGAGTCAGCATATTGCCCCCCCCCCAAAAATGTGGGTCTTCATTTTATCAACCTCACAAGGGTAGAAGGCTGAGTCAACCTTGATCCTGGTGAGATTCGAACTGCCAAATTTGCAGGTCAGCAGAAGTAGCCTGCAGGACTGCATTCTAACCACTGCGCTACCACGGCTTACCATCAGTTCTAGTCTGGAGCTTGGCTAGCACTGATAATGTTGCCTACTTTAAGTAATGAGATGTCTACAAGAAAACCAGTGGTGGGTTCCTCCCGGTTCAGCCCGGTTCGGCTGATGATATGATGTCACCAAACTGGTTCTCTTTGTTCGGGAGCTGCCCCCCCCGCTCCCCTACCCCCGCATTATTCTTACCTTTTTTTTGGCCCCATCCCCAATCTATTGCTGCCTCCCGAGTCCCAGCTGATCGGCTAGAAGGAAAAAAACTGTTTAAACTCTTGCCTCTTCAAAGAGCCACCCTACAGCTGATCAGTGTTAAAAGGCAGTGTGGTGGTACACCAGTGCCTCCAAAAACAAATGAGTAGACTGGTGCCTCCAAAAACAAATGAGTAGACTGGTGCCTCAAAAACAAATGAGTAGATCGATACAACTCTGCAAGCAGTTAAAAGCCTGGTAGACCAGTACCTCTGCTAAATCCTAAAGAATTGTCACATGACCATCAAGCCATGCCCACAAAATAAGCCATGCCCACAAAACCGGTAGTAAAAAATTTTTAGAACCCACCCCTGAAGAAAACCAGCAAGTTCAGAGATCACCAACGACCCCTCATGTCACCCCTGAACTACAAATATTCTCCTTTATCGAAACTATCCAGAATTAGGCTGCGATTGAGCAAGCTCATGCCTGCTAAGACCCAAACAGAATAGAGCTTGGAGGCCTAAAGGAACCTTGCAGATCTTTTACTCCAAACTCAAGACCCTATCCATTTCAGATACGTGGCTGTCTAGTCTTTTCTTTAAAATCCCCACTGAGGAAGCCCCTACCACTTCTGAAGGCAAGCTGTTCCACTGGTTCATTGTCCTCACTGCTAGGAAGTTTCTCCTTAATTCCAGGTTGCTTCTCTCCTTGATTAGTTTCCATCCGCTGTTTCTTGTCTTACCTTCAGGTGCTTTGGAAAATAAGTTGACCCCTCCTTCTTTGTGGCAGCCCCTCAAATACTGGAATACTGCTATTCCAGTATTTGAATGTGAATTCAATGGTCTTGCTCTGCAGTACATAGACTCTGCAGTCTGCATAGATTCGAGGTGGCAGGACAGGAATGGGAAATACCTTTTCTAGGAAATTGCAAGGAACTGTGTACTGAAGCTCTAATAGTGTGGAAACATGTTTCAGTGGGAATACCTACCATTTTATTCGAGGCCCGGGGCTTATTTTGAAGAAGCTACATGGGATCAGATGAGAAACTGCTCAGAATCCCAGAGAAGTAGGCTAGCCTGGGAATCTTCCCAATTTGAGGGAAGTGTAAAATTTATCTTCTATAAACTCAGCCAATTATGGACTTAGGTTTCATTTGTTCAAATGGAACAGGAGATGGTGTGATTTATCTGGACAATGAAATATGTCATTTAGCCTTAAAACAAAATTATATGAGCATTCTTCAAAACATTCAGCTAAGTGATTATTGTCAAGAACGTGCATACTATTGAAAACAAACTGTCCAAGATGAAGCAATCATCTCAAATAATCCAAACTTGAAAAATTCAAATAATATCATAATCAAAAATATACCACAGATATTCCCCCTATCAGAAAATTCAGGGTAATAATTGCAACCTAATGGTTTGCCCTGCAAAAAAGAACTGGCATTATAATGATTATAAAAATAATAAGAACAGACTTCAGCATCCTAAGATAAATAACACTGTAGGACAATGTTTTTGTTGCGAAGAGTTTTGAGCCTCCTTGTGAAGAAAAGAATTTTTGCCCTACATGATTTAATAATAAATTTAAAATGTATTCCTATTCCACTGAAAAGTTTACAGAAATAGACAATCTTATTAGCTAAGCTGTTTGCTTATTTTTATTGATGACATCATTTCAGATATAACTTAAAAGAGCCTAGGTGGCGCAGTGGTTAGAGTGCAGTACTGCAGTCTACTTCAGCTGACTGCTAGCTGCAGTTCGGCAGGTCAAATCTCTCCGGTTCAAGGTTGACTCAGCCTTCCATCCTTCTGAGGTGGATAAAATGAGGACCTAGATTGTTGGGGGCAATATGATGACTCTGTAAACGGCTTAGAGATGGCTGTAAAAAGCACTATGAAGCGGTATATAAGTCTAAGTGCCGTTGCTGTTGCTATTAAGGAAAAAAAACCTTTGTGATTACGTTTTACAACACCCATACCCTCTTTTAATATTGTGCTAACTTTGAATGCTGCAGATGTCGTATCAACGGTCATAGAAATCAATTTGAAACATAAAATTAATACCCGTAACTATCTACACGAAGGTGATATAACACTCAGATTGAAATCCCCAGTATATAAATAACATCACAGAACACAATGCACAACAATTTGTTTGGCTCCATTAGCCAATTCACTGATAGAGCAGAGAGGATTATGTTTACATAATATACAAGCCCAAATTGAGCAACCCAGTTTTATTTTTTGTTATATGAACTCAGGAACTTGGAAGACTTCTAATCCAACCCCCTGCTCAATATACTATTTCAGACAATGAGATTAATTATCCAATCTCTTCTTTTAAAAACCTAGAGATAAAGCACCCACAATTCTGAAGGCAAGCCATTCTCCTAACTGATCTGTTACTAACTTAACAACTGCAGTGATTCATTTGACAACTGTGGCAAGAAAGGTCACAAAATGGGGCAAAATTCATTTAACAATTGAGCAACAAATTTTGGGCTTAATTGTGATTGTAAATCAAGAACTACCTGTATATGATTTATTTATTTTTTTGGCACTAAGCTCTGCTAGCCTCTTCATGGTTTCCTTGCATGAATGCAGTGAGCATTGCAAAAGGGACTGTGGACTTTGCTTAATTAGGACTGAAAATGACAAAATCTCCAGAAATATAACCCACCTCACAAAATATAACAGCAGGAGGGACAACATAACTGTGAAGAAGACACTAAATGCTGTACACATCCCAGAATTTGCAGTCATCATGCACAATTTGTGTATTGTAGTCCCAGCACTGTTAGAAGGATGGCTGACCTAACAGAAAAAATATTCAGAGATGTCTTTGTTTTCATAACTGATATAGGGCTGACTTCATACATACAGATTTCAGTTTTAGCCAATGCTCTTTAGAAAAAGTATAGGCAGCTGGAATTTTGGGACCAAAGCAAGTGAACAAGAAAGCAAACAAAAGGAGTTTTGTGAGGATCTTTAGCAGAGGGAGGAACAGGATAACTCAAATCTTGCCCAAAAAAATTGACATCAGTTGACCAGCACTGGTGATTTACCAGATGAGTGACAAGTTTCCAAACTAGAAGAGTAAACTAGTTACTCCTATTGCAAATGCTAAGCTTGTCTTCTTACTGGTGGACAAAATAAAAGGACTGCAGGACTACAGCCCATCTTTTTAAGAACATCAGAGAAGATGTAGCATACATCCTACATAGGCCAGTAGAACAAAACCTTCAAATAAAGACAGGACTTAGCAATAACAATAGCATTTCATATACCACTTCATAGAGCCTTACAAATGCCAGCCAGTTGCCAAGCATCCAAACTGTGATCACATGACTGCAGAAGTGGTGCAACAGTCGTAGCCCTGAGGATGGCTGGTAAGTCACTTTTTCATGGCCAATGTAATTTAGAACCATTGTTAAATGAATGGCCATAAGTCAAGGACCACCTAAACAATGTTACCTTGTTATATTGAGTTAAATGGGATTTCAGTTAATATGATTGATTTTAATAAATGGATTTACATTCTTGTGATATTAAGAACTGTCATTAATCCATTTGTCAGATAATAGTAGTACTGTTAATATAGTAGTAATATTGTCTGCAAGTGCTTGAGCATCTATGTATTGTTTTAGCCACAAGATGTCACCATTGAGATACCTTAATTTCCAATTTCCAGTATTGAAGGTGAAACTATTCAATGCTATTATCACATATGAATTTTTTGCTGAATTGTTGAAAATACCTATTAAAAGTAACTCTCTTTCTTTGGTAGATCCAGAGCTACAGCGATCTCTAAATATAATGCCACAAATAAATTCCAAGACAAGAACATTCTGAACCTGAAATCATAATGATTTTACCAATTCACATCAATCTAGTGTGTATAAAATGAAAAAAACAGGCCATCTAGACAATAGACTCTTACCGTTATTGTTAGTGACAGGCTTGTGCATTTTTTCTTTTTGTGAAATAGCCAAAAAATATACAGTAGAAAATCCTCAAAACATTTTGAGAAGAGTATTTAGGTACCTATTTATTATAAACTATGCCAGTAACATTTTGCCACAGCTATCCAATCAAATCTATAGACCTTATCATATTTACTAATGCGACTGTAAGCTAAAAGTGGTGGACAAATTTCATTTAGACTGAGGGCAAGATAAATACAAAACTTACATTCTCTGAGAAAAGTTCCTCTACATTTCATATAACAAAACTTCATATTCATTACTGTATTATGGTTCAATTCTATCTATCTGGGTTTAACAAGCTAAGATGGTGAAGCTGTTTGATCCTTTTGGCCATGGTGTATGTTCTCGTTTCTTTCATTTATCTTTTCCAAGGTGATGTTCTCATAAGTGGGATGAATAATAACCATCATTTCAAGCCAATATACCATGCTGACAGAGGACGAGGGCACTGTAGGCAGTAGGTTGGAGAAAGCTGGTCTAATCACAGTACTCCTTTCTGATCAATTGTCCAGTATTCTTTTTTTCAGACTGAATTTGTAGCACTTCCACTTTTGTTCAACTAGGTCAAATTCCAACTGTCTGCTGGGGAATCAGACTGGCTAGGAAAGGAGTAAAATCTTTGTGTCCAAGGAGAAAGATAATGATACGATGTTGCTTTCTTTCTAGGGAAAAATGATATTAAAACTTTTTTAAAAAAACGATTCAGCCAGAACAGGAATTTGTACAAATAATACAGTATCCTTTTGCAGAAATGTGGCCCAATTCAACAATAAAGATTGATACAGTAAGACCCTAAAAATCTTATGAAATATATCTGATTTTGACTTGACTTTGGTCACTATTCAATTAATCAATATAGTCTGCCATTCCAAATGAAATCTTTATATCAGTTGAAATACAGGCTATGGGACTGAAGCTCTTCGTGAATTCTAGTTTGCACTGACATTGGATAAGAATGGCCAATTAAAAAATAGTCTGTCCTAGAAATAGACTGATCACAATATTCCAGAGTTTCTTTTTCTATTAGGAAGCCAACACTGCATCTGTCAGCTTTTTCTTGTTGTCAGCCTGCACCATGGGGGATTTTTACTCCAAGGCAAACTGATATTCCTTTTCCTCATAAAAGCTGCATGGCAAATAGATGAGCCACTCATTCTGCATCACATCACAAGAACCTAATTGATTGATGTCAGAAGCGTGTTCGCTACCAAACAATCCAACAGGTCTCCAGTTTAATCAAATCTCAGTAGATGCGGGGGTTTTTAACAAAACCTTGCAACTGCATCAAGATTAACTAGTTTATTAGAGCTCACTTTATAAAATCGTGTATCGCCTTAGATTCCAGATACATTTTCACAAGAAGAAAGGATTCTAAATATGAAAGTCGAAAGGAAATGCAGAAAGTGAACAAACTATGAATGTTTCACTTTCATAAAACCCTACAATTTCATTACAAGTTGTAAGAAACACCTATGGGATCAGATCAAAATTCCATTGAGTTCAATAATTAATAGTTAATTCAACACCCCTTTAAAGCCTACAAACAGGGCATTGGTACTATGCACCATCATGTTGTTTTATCCAACTGTAATTCAGAAATATACTGCTTTTAATGTTATTAATAGAATACATTATTCTATTCTAGATTAATAGTCATCTTTACTTTCATCTTCAACCTATCTGATTACCACTTGGGTTATTTGGGTATTCTGCACATTTTCTGCCATTTTTTTTTATCTTGGCTATAGGCATCCAAGAAGTGGCTGATGTCTGAACTACATAAGAAAGATAGAAAACTAAAAGATCTAATAAACAGTCTCACCCAATTTTACTTCACCTTTCCAGGATAGATTCTAGAACATCTGCAATGAAAATTTTCTGCTCTTCTATATTACAATTTCCCCCCCTAAATTCTAGAGCCACCCATCAATCATTTGTTTTCCATTTGTTTGTCTAAGGCGGAAATACATGCTTTTTTGAAATGGCATCACTTCTCAGATTTTTGGAGGCATCTCAGAGCCTCTCTTTTGCTAAGAGAATATGAAGTAATAAGGCCAAAGCCAAATGCAGTCCTTACCCATGCAAAGCAGTGGCTCCCCAGATCTTTTCACACAGGTTTTTCCCTGCTCCAAAAGTCTCAGTGCAATGCAAGAAGGGAAGGACGTGTTTGCCTCTGGCTTGACTTGTGGATCCGCAGCTTAGTTAATCTTGCTGGTTCTTGCTTGCTTGACAATATGACACTAGTTAAAAATCGGCAGCATATTAGAGGAGTAGAGGTCATCAGTTGTGAAGTTATATTCATACGTTTTCTCCTGGATGCAGAAAGAACAGAGTTCATTTGTTCCAAGTAAAGAGCAGAGTAGCACTAATAAGGCAGAACTGTAGAAATCAAAGAGGCTTCTACGTTGAGCCATTTTGTGAAACACTGAGGATATTTGCTCACTTATTTAAGAATCCAGACAATGTCTTTTCCAAACTTTAGTGTGAATTTTTTTAAAAAAAAAATCTGGAATGAGTACACTCTTTTCAGGTGTTAAATAATAATAAATTGAAAGTTGGTTTTCAAATATAAAAACTTCAAGTCAGTTTTTACTCATGGCAACTGCGTAGACAAATCCTGGAATGGCTTGCCATGGCTTCCTTCAGTTTAGGACTCAGAGAGAGAGAGAGAGAGAGAGAGAGAGAGATTCCACTATACTCGTATATATTCATTCCAGATGTTGAAATCCATCAGTCTAGTGTGGTATAGATGGTATGAATGGTTGGAGAATAGGAAAAATGAGAAAGAGGAATAAAGGAGGGGGGGGGAGGAAAAAAAAAGAAAAAAAATGTTGAAGATCAAGGTACAATATAGACGAAATAAAGAAAGATGGAAAATAATTGTTGAATAAGACAAAATTTAAAATATGTGTAAATAGATGTAAATAGCAAGAAAGGATCACCTTGAAATAGCTGAAGAAATAAGTGATATGTATATAAATGTTGTGTGTTTGTGTCTTGTTTTAATGTGTTCAAAATAAAAAACTTTTTTTTTAAAAAAAAGAAATCTATCAGTCTTAGTTAATAAAGCTGAAAGAAGATGAGCAGTGCAATTTAACAACATCTGGAAGACCCAGGTTACCCTTACCTCTCCTATTATTTTGGGGGAAAGATAAATTAGAAGTTTTTTATTCAAGAATGCTTTCGTATTTTCCCGCTGATAATCAGCACGGAGGTTTCAAGTTAATCCTCAATTTAAAAAGCACAACCCTCTTCTTGCAAACAGTCACTAAGACAAAAAAAAAAAAAAAAGGATACAAAACAAGGTTCACTCCACTGCCACCAACCCTACTGCCAAGAAGAACAACATATTTTAGGATCTAGTATTTGAAAAAGACAGATCCAAAATGGAGTTAAAGAAATCTGGCACTTTTATATTATGAAACGACTGCAAAAGGCTGCCTCGTAGGAGCTAGCAGGGGAGATTAATCCTCTGGGGCGAGCTGGTCCTGCAGCCTTTCCAAATAGCTGACAAAACCCTTTGTCACTCCATGGAACCTAGGAAAGCAGGTTCCACCAAGATTTGAAACAGATCTTTGGAATGTCCGCTTCCAAGCCTATTTCAAAAAAGAAAATAATTGACTTGTTTATTTTATTTATTTATTTATTTATTTATTTGTCAAGAACGTATTAGGTAATTTATATAACTATAAGCATGAATTGAATACATAAAAATAGATACAAACAGAGGAAACATTAGGACAGGGATGGTAGGCATGCTGGTGCTCTTATGCACACCCCTTACAGACCTCTTAGGAATGGGGTGAGGTCAAAAGTAGTTCAAAAATCTTTGCCTGAAAGAGACTATATCTATGAGGGTGAAAATTCATTCTCCGAGTTTGTGGGTTGGTTTCCAAACGTTTCATTACCAGGCTAGGTAACATCTTCAGTGGAGTGTGGAATTATCCAGAAGGCATTATCCAGAACCAAAGACAAGATACAGAAGGATGAAAGAAAAATGTAATCAATGTAATTCCAAGGGGTTGGAAGATTCTGGCTGTCATTTGCGAAATACACAAAAGGGGTGTCGGAAATGACAGCCAGAATCCTCCAACCCCTAGGAATGGTAGTAGTCCACAAACCCGCAGCCACACTCCGCCAGGAACTATCCAGAACCAAAGACAAAATACAGAGGGATGAAAGAAACAATGTAATCTACAAAATCAATTTTAACCATTGCAACCAATTCTGCATGGAACAAAAATCACATCAATTAAAAACCAGGACCCACAAATACTAGCTGGCAGTCAAACGCCATGATACCAAATTCTTAATCTCTACTCACACCGACACCAAACAGCACTAGTTCAATTGGAGCAACACAAAAATCATCGGCCACACTACTGCCCACCACACTCATGCGTTCATCAAAGTTTGGCACTCCACAAGCGATTCCATCAACAAACACATTGACCTACAACCAGCCTATAAACCCCTCAGAATCCAAATCAACCGGCACAGCCAACCAGAGACAGCACCAACCCACACAACCCCACCAGCAGTTCACCTCCCAATGACCCTGACTTGATGTAATCTCATTACAAGACCCATCACAAGACTCAATGATGACTCACTCTTGACCCATCACTAGACCCTCACTTGACACACCAACACCTGAAGCCCTTATAAACAGAAGAACACTGACACTGACATCTCCTAAACTCCACTGAAGATGTTACCTACCCTGGTAACAAAACATTTGGAAGCCAACCCATAAGCTCAGAGAACGAACCTTCACCTTGATTGATTGATTGATTGATTGAGTTGTCTCTAGAAACTCTCTAAAAAATATTGTGACTATTTGTGACAAACAAAACATTGCATAAATATCCTCTTTCATGAGGATCCCAAATAAAATTCTAATACATGGAAAATGCCCTACATATATTAAGCAAATCACAATTCAAACAATGGATCTTCTCCTTTCTCTCCATTCACATAAATATTAGAAGATTCCCAAGAAACCCAGTGAGTTTTTAATTTATTGTAATTGTTAACTGATATAGTACATGTACTTGTAATGTCTCACGTGTGAGTGCATAATCAACCTACCTTCCCCTCTCTCCCATTTCACCCCATTTAAATCCTTCATCAGTCTAGCTACTCTATGCATCTAATGCAGTGATCTACAGCTCATGAAAACATACAACTTTTAATAAAGTTGTTAAAAGGTGCTACAGTATAGATATTTTTATTACCTGATACAATACTACCTTTTTTACTACCTGGTTTTTTTTACTACCATAGACTAGCATGTCTGCCCTCCATAATTTCTTTACTTCACATATACTGGGATAACATATATCCCAGTAATAATAAACCAATTCTAGCCAACTGCAAGGGACTAGTGGCATGGTGGTTAAGGTGCTGGATTAAAATATGGGAAACCCAGTTTAAGTATGGAGATTTATTAAGCAATATTAAGTTGGCAGGTGGACAGAGGACAGAGTATTCTATGCATCTCTGTAAGCTCTGGACGAAAAGCAGCATAGAAATCTAATAAATAAGCCAATAAACCTAACTCAGAAGAAAGTAAGATGAAGTGTTTGTTGCAGTTCCATGATTCCATATATGGAGGTTAGAAACCTTGTTATGTACAACAAATTATCCAGGGGTATACTAATGGGTCCTGCTTTATTTTCCTTTCATCTCTGTTCTGAGCTGCATTCTGGTCACCTTTTTCAGAAATGTAGCATTTTTTGCAGTTTGGTTTTCATTACTCCCAATGGGATCTGAAAAGAGAAGAACAGAGTAGACATTGCCCCCAATCTGCCAGCGCAAATGTTCAGTGGCTCACTCGGGTGTCAGCCACAAAGCCTTTAATATACAGGCAATTCTCAGTAGAGCCAGCCCCTCTCACCCCCCAAAACCCCCAGCCTTAATGGGATTTTGTAAAATGACCAATCACCAGTCAGTTGATAACTCCCCAAAGTATAAAGCAAGAGCCATGTTCATTAAAATTGGCTTTGTTAACCTTGTCATAAAAGAGCATAACTGACTCACTATGGATCCATCTGAATAGCCAGGGACATCCGCAGCAAGCCAAGATGTTGTCAAAATGATGAAATGTGTGTCATGACAGCACAACACAAGCTCTACCACTTATGTACTTGCAGGCAACACTGAGGCAGCAGTTCTGTAGTGACACATTTTATCATTGTCCCCCATCTCCCACTCTCACCCACTCTCCCCAACTTGATACCCACATATATAGCCAGGCTATCATTCGACTTTCAGATTATAAAGGTTCAGTAGCATATACATTTTTTCCTCATTTTTTTTTAACATAGCTGAAAAGCAAGGCAAACTTTGGGGCAACTGTCTGTCTAATGAGGCTTGAGATGCAGATGACACCTGTCACAGATTAATTGTTCAATCATTCACTTAGGGACTTAAACATATATTACCCTCTATCAGCATTTGCGGATCTCAGAAATTGATTTAAAATGCCCAACCTTTTTTTTTTATCTGTGACAGAATACGTACCCATGTCCAAATGGTATGTATGAAAATGGCTGATCAGAACTACTACTCTGAATACTTCCTCAACTGACCCCAACTCGTTTCTGAGACATTATTTCAAGAGAAACTGATATATTTTTTTCTTTTTAAATGTCCTTTAAAAAATCTTGTTCTCTTCCCTTATATGAGCTAGGAATAAGCTCATATAAGCTTATTCCTGGCTCAATTATACCTTCAATTATACCTTTACACAGGGTTGGATCTCTTTTGTGATAAATGATCAGATCTATTTGGGTTAAACTCATCTTCTACCGAGGAAAGTCAGTCATAAATGCAAAAATCGTGAAATAAGACAGTAAATTTTTTTTTTTTTCTTCAAACATGGTCAAAAGAACAATGCAAGAGGAGCCAAAGAAACCATTTCTCTTCAGGAGGATCACTTGGTCCTGAGCTGACACAGGCATTATAGCAATCTCGGGCATCCATAAAACTTGTCTTCTCATATTGGCTGAGGTTAGCAGCAAGTACCAGCTTTCTGTCCTTCAGGAAACAGGAAAAAGCTGGTCCCACAATTACAGTGTAATCTTATCTTTCACATCTCTGGATCTTGTAGAAATTCTTCAGGCTTCTGGCATAGGAGAAATCAGCTCTTACGTGTAAAGTTTAAGGTGCAACAGCCACAGGGTATAGGGATGCTTTTGTTTTGTTTAAACAGCTCCTTGTTCCATTCTTCCCTAGATACAAAAAGAGCAAAAGCTGTGAAATCAGGACAGCATCTAACCCAGCATCATTCATTATGTCTTACGATATTTATTTATTTATTTTTTATTAGTTCGATTTATATATGCCGCCTTTCTCCGGAGACTCAGGGTGGCTTACAATGCAGTAAGCAATAGCCTTCATACTTTTGTATATACCTGCTTAGTAGGGCTTTTTGCCCCCCCCGAGCGGTGTTCTATTTTATACAAAGTCAGCTTATTGCCCCCACAAACTGGGTCCTCATTTTACCTACCTCGAAAGGATGGAAGGCTGAGTCAACCTTGAGCCTGGCGAGAATTGAACTCGCAGAAATTTGCAGGCAGCTGGCAGCTAAGTATTACTTTAACAGCAGCAGTTTAGTCCACTGCACCACCAGGCTCTTATCAGGCTCTTATCTCCTCAGAAAACTTCCCTGGTCAGAGTTAGACTTCTCAGCAGAGTTTAAAAGGCTCTGCCAAAAGTTGTGGCTACAAAGCAGTGGTGAAATACATTTTTTTTTACTACCTGTTCTGTGGGCGTGGCTTGGTGAGCGTGGTGTAGCTTGGTGGGCATGGCAGGGGAAGGATACTGCAAAATCTCCATTTCCACCCCACTCCTGGGTGAAGGATATTGCAAAATCTCCATTCCCACCCCACTCTAAGACCAGCCAGAGGTGGTATTTGCCGGTTCTCCGAACTACTGAAAATTTCCGCTACCGGTTCTCCAGAATCTCCTGCTGGATTTCACCCCTGCTCCAAAGCATGACAGTACCAGCCAGGATGTTGTTTCAAGCAGGATTAAATTCGCCCAGCCTAGGATAGCACCCAGCCTACTATGGCAGTAGCATCCTGGGTACCACAGCTGGCTGGGTGCCTCTCTCTGAATCGGATGCTCAGTTATCTTTTGGCCAACTTAACCTACCACACAGGCCCGTTGGGAAGAGACAAGGATGGGCGTTGTGCATTGTTGCGAGTAGACCGAGCGCAGCGTTGAACTCAGCACATAATTGCCCTTTTAGATGTCGAGAGTTGAGCTGCCAAGAGTACCTCTGAGTTCGTGCAGAGGGCTTTCCGCCAGCCTCCGCGGGGGGTTCCTATATTCCGCGATCCTTCAGACATAACAGCGGTGCAAACGCGGCGTCACCGGAGTGGAGGGAAGGCGGGGGGGGGGACTGAGGAATCGCCAACCAGTCCCACCTGCCGCCGCCTCTTTGCAAAGTAAACCGGGCGGGGAAGGCGAGAAGCGGCCGCCCGCTGCCACCGAGGGCGTGGTGCGCGGAGCCGGGCTGCCTCCCGGAGGCCGCGCCTGCCATTGGCTTTCTCCTACAGCGGGAGGCTGGGCTAGGCAAGCCGGGAGGGGTGGGGGGCAGGGAAAGTTGCTGCCTGCGCCATGCAGTTCCCACTCGGCCCGGGAGTTTGCGCGGGACTGGCGGAGCTGAAGCCCAGGCGCGAAACAGGTAAGCTAATGCCGGCGGGGCTGGGCAAGGCAAGCGCGGCGCCGTCCGGGACGAAGGACTCTTCTTGCATTCCACCCCTTTCCTCGGCTGAGCTACGCAAGCCCAAGCCTCTCCTCAGCGTCCTCGCCCTCCCGGCCCAGAAGGCAGAGGGACGAGTCCGGTCTCCCGTCAAGTCCCAGGTTCAATCATCCCTCCCCGCTTACGCCCCCCCCCTCTCCCCTGAAGGAGCAGGGGGGGGGGATGTCTGGCCCCGAGGGTTCGATCCCGCGCATCTTTCCCTGGCAAAAGGGCAGCCCCGGAGCTCGCCGGCTTCGCCTTCCTCCAGGATGGGAGGTATCCTTAGGGCGAAGGATGGGTTGTTGCTTGGGAAACCGTGGAGCTTTTTTTTTTTTAAGGGTGTGGCGGGAAATTATTTGTTGGGAAAAGTTGGAAGGGGAAGGTGGGGGGGGGCATGATTAATGAACGCGACGACTTTGGGGCAACGGAGGGGACTTGCGAAAAGTTGCACATTTTTCCCCGGCAACTTTTCTTAGGTTGGAGCGGGATTGAACAAAAACCGTGACTCTTGGTAATTGTAAAAAAAAAAAAAAAAAACGAACGCGGATTAAGGCGCTGCTTTTCAGCATGGCCTCCGTAGGGACTAGAACCGCAATAACTTGCTGGCCCGTAGCGAATCCAGTCCTCCGAAAGGATACCGGCGGGGGTGGGAATCCCAGCGTTTTATCCAGTAGCAGCAATTCATGCCGGTATGGTTTTTGTATCCGGAGACGTTGTAAAGGAAAGAACGTGTGGTGTAGTGGTTAGGGTAAGAGGACGCAGGTTCAAGGCCATTCTTAGCCAGTAGAAGCTTGTTGGGCGGCTCTTGGCCAGTCACTGCCACTCTTTAACCTGGCCTACCTCACAAGGTTGTTGGGGAAGTGGATTGGAAGAGGGAGTCCTGTAGACATTGGAGCTCCTGAGCAAAGGGAGAAAATGAATATATTACTATTAGATCTAATAAACGGGCTTACCCCAAACAGAGGCCCTCAGGTATTTGGACTACAATGGCCATTATCCCCTGCTGCTCAGGGTGATGAGACATTGCTATTAAACCCCACTGGGTAAGGTTGCCCAAGGGGGAGACTCTGTCAGACACAGGCAGGTTGGCAAAACTTGCTGTAACATGTCAAAAGGAATCCAAGGACTGCTCTCTTTTTTTCCCCTTTTCTTTTCTTTTCTTTTCTTTTTTTTCTTTTTTTCTTTTCTTTTTTGCAGTCCAGGCTGTTTTGTGGTTTGACTCGAGGGGTGGCATTTGGGAAGGGGGAAATGATCTTGAGAAGCAGAAGTGCGCTGGCAGCATCCAGGAAGGCAGAGTCTGGGAAGAAAACATGATCTCTCTTCCTCATCCCAGCTTGGTTCAAACTCCTCTCCTCTTCCTCCTCCTCCTCCTCCCATTTTTTTTTTCTGCTTTTTTTTTTTCAAGGGTGGCAAGACGTGAAAGAGAACTGCTCCATTCCTAGGGCTGTTCCTACTTTTCCAAGTCCGCTGTGGCGTCTCAGCCTGGTTGCACGCGCGGAGACACTCGCACCTTCTCTCCAGGCTTCCTTTCTTTGCCTTTCTGCTTGACCCAAGAAGATTGCTTTCGGAGGACTGGAACCAAAGATCCTTTTGAGACGGAGACAGCACAGGGAGCACCGCAGGAGAACAGTCCCTGACAAGAGGTGGTGATGCTGGGGTGCTCTCTTTGGGGCTGTGCATCCCCTGCGCTAAGTGGGGAGAGGCGAGGAGCTGGGGGGCTGGAGCTGTTACTCCTGCTGGTCCTTTCAGGCTGGGTTTGGGCACAGCAGCCACAACCGCAAATTCTCCCTTGCCCTGCGCTATGTGAGTGCTTCGAGACAGACCGAACAGTGAAGTGCATCAACGACAACTTGACGGAGGTGCCATCTGAGCTGCCGCCTTTCGTGCAGGGACTCTTCCTCACCCATAACAGCATCAGCAACCTCTCTTCTGCCTCCTTCCTCTCCGCCTCCCTCTCGGAGCTCACCCTCCTCGACCTGAGGGGTAACCAGCTGGGCTGGGTGGGCGCGGAGACTTTTGCTGAGCTGCCCCACCTAAAGCAGTTGGACCTCAGCGACAATTTGCTCACTTGGCTCAGCCCCATGGCCCTGGGCAATACCAGCAGCCCCTTGGAAGAACTGTACCTGAGTAGTTCCCTCTACAACAACAGTTTTGTGGTCCTTGTGGCTGAGCTGCTCCAGACGGGCACACTTCTCAACTTGAAGCACTTGGACCTGTCTGATAACAATTTGATTTATCTGCCGGCCAGGATGTTCTCCGCACTGCCCAGTCTGGAGCACCTAGACGTGCGTAATAACTCCCTGGTGAGTTTACGTAACGTGTTTCTGGGGAGCCTCCAACAGCTGCGCACCTTCGATCTCGGCAGCAACGGTTTCAAGACCCTGAGGAACGACACCCTCCAGCAGCTCCAGGGCCTCCCTTTGCTGTCCCTCAATCTCAGCGACAACCCCTGGGTTTGCGACTGCCACATTGAGGACTTGGTGAACTGGCTGAAGGAGAGCAAGCAGGTCGAGGCTAAAGGGTCCCTCGAGTGCTCCTCTCCCCAGGAGTTGCAAGGACGCTCTTTGGTGAGCATCAATGTGTCCAAACTCGACTGCCCCCTTGTGATCGATGACCAGACCCCACTGCAGACTTCATATGTCTTCCTTGGGATAGTCTTGGCTCTCATTGGTGCCATTTTCCTCCTGGTTTTATATTTGAACCGAAAGGGGATCAAAAAGTGGATGTATAACATCAGGGATGCCTGTAGAGACCACATGGAGGGCTATCACTACAGGTACGAGATCAACACAGATCCCAGGCTAACAACCCACAACTCCAACTCAGATGTCTGAAGAAGTACTATGTGGAAATGGGCCTGATGCATAATAGCCCTGCATGAAATGTAGACTTTAACTCTTGCCCTTACCTGCTTCCTTTCCCCTTTTCACCTAGACATCAGAGACTTCACTTGTGCAGAGAATTATGCTTCCCTGCACAACATTCATATTATTGTTATTATGAACGTGGTGCATGGTGTTAGGCAGTCTGTGCCATTGCTACTTTCCAGCATTTTTCCTTTGCAACTCACTGCCAGCTTGTGGTTGGATATTTCTTAGCATCTAAACAGATAAGGAATGTTCCCTCTTTGTTTCTCCCTCTTGATATTTTCAAAGAGTGAGCATATATTAAAAAGTACCATTCAACAAAGACTGCCTCAACTTTTTTGGAGAGAGAAACATTTTACCGATTGCTGGAAGGTTGGTTTTTGTGCCTCATAATTGTGAAAAGGTTTATAGATTCCATACGTACTTAGAAAAGGGACATGTACAGACAAGCAAGTAAACCGCAAGCATGCAAAAAGGGAAAACCCTTAGCCCAAGTAAAATCATACCCCTTAGCCAAGTAAATCGGTTGTTTGCACGCTTGCTCTTTCCTTGGTTGTTTGTACAAACCAGTGGTATGGTTTTGCTTTTGGTAAAAAAATACAAGCATTTGCAATTTATGTGAAAACTGGTGTTTTTAAGGAATTCTCATCTCATATAAATTTCATATGAAGTGAGTGTGCACTGTTAAATAAGTCAATAAATGTTTCTGTTTTTCTGCAGCAGGCTATCCTCTTATAATAAGGAAGTTAAGACCCCAACATGATATTCTTTCCTTTTTGATTAAAAATTGTGCAAAATATGAAAAAACATCCTGTTTTTAAAAAAGATTTGTTTGGAAGCATGTCATCAACGTAGTTTAATTTTAGAAGGCTAGAAAAATGCAAAGTTAACAATAATTTGCACTTTTTTTTGGTTAAACTGCATGCGAACTACCATCTCTCTTATTATGCAGTCTCATTTTACACAGTCTGTTGTGACCTAGGAGTGGCTGTACAACAACTCTTAAGTGGAAAGATAAAGGATTAAATGACACTGATTTTTGGAGCAATCGCTGAAATTGGGAGCAGGATCTTGCTGCTGAATAATGGGCACTTGCACCTTTTTTAAAAAAATCTATGCAAACATTACTTTTGGTGACTCGGTGGGAATTACTCCCAGATGCATGTGAGAAATCTTAAACTGAAAACACATATTTCATTGAATTAAAATATGGATTGTTTCATTGTTGCTCAGCTTATGTGAACCCAGTAAACTATTATTTATTCAACAAACTATGATTAAACCAATGGTGGCTTAACACATGAACCCAACCATAATGTAGCATGAGTTTCAATGACAACCCATCTGTGGAAAAACAGAGTTCCAAGTATTTAATTTGACTAAATTGTACCTAATGTATCTAAGCTGCAATAATTAGAACATGGATCTAGAAGCACATACTTTTGGAAAACTAATGTAATGATAGAATTAAGCCATAGGTCCTGTGGAGTGGTAGGCTTACTCCGAAATAAGTATGCTTAGCAATAGCGTCTGATTATAAAACAACTTTGTTGAAGTCAGCATGGCCTTAGTTTTCAATTGAGAGGTTGTACATCTTCAGACCTCAAGGGGGGAGGCTGACATAACTGTTCACCAAGCTGGAGACAATATTATACAAGTCTAGTCTTCAAACCATAGCTAATATTCATAAGGAATAACATAACATCTGTGCAAATGTATATTTTATGGTTTAACTTGTGCATGTCTATGACTTTATGTGTCTCTTTGCCCATTTATAAGGAAGGATGTTTTGCAAACCATAGTATCACCTTCAGTCTGACTGTTGTGATAGTCCAGGAAGTATATTAAACACATTATTCTTTGAAAAACTGGAATGCATGAACTGTGATGCCAATCTGCATATCAGCTCTAAATAGATACATTTACTTTCTTTAGCAATTTTTGGAAAGTTGTATATCACGTTCTTGGTATTGCTTGTGAAGTGCTAGGTCTAATAAATCACAAATAAGTTTACTATAGTGATAAGCAATATCCAGTTCCATATTGGTCTGGAAATAATTTCCAACTAAATCAATGGCATGGAAATCTATGTGTGTATAAAGTAATTAACATTATTCAGAATGTTTATAGCTTAACTATATGCCACTGTTTATGAAGCTTCCACTCTTATGTGCACACACCATTACGGTATTGCAAGTTTTGCTAAATCTCTTTTTGCAAATTCGTTTGTTCCAATTTGGGAATGAAGAGTAATAAAACCTGTACTACTGATTTATGCTTTTATTTCACAAATACAAATTTTCTGATTTTAATCATTTCTTAGTCTGTAATATTACCAGAGTTAGTAATATAATTCTATTGTGATATAAGCTCTTAAAAATAAAGTAAAATAAAATACAGCAGGTACTAACTAAAAATAGCATTTTCAGACAATGCTAGTGTTTAAGTCATTTTTTCAATGTTTTCAATAGAGAACGGCATTGCTGGGGGAAAAAACTGGTTTTGGAAGGTGCATTGCATTTTCTTAAGCAGTTGTGCAATGCAAGTCTTGAAAAATGTACCGACCAAACAAATGAATAATGTTAGCAGATACTAATATTACAGGAAAACATCAGATTCTTAAGGTTCTGAATGGTGTTGTATGCTGTAATAACTTTATATTTGAATCAGCTTGAATCAAATAGTCTTTCATTTTAAAAAAACCAATCTGGGCATATTTGCATGTTTCCTAATCAACGAATATTCTCCTGAATCAGTGTTAATCAGATTATCTTAAAGTACAATAGACTTTTCCAATAAGACGAAGACAATTATAAAGAATTGTTTCTGTTTTGCAACTCAGCTCTATCCCCTGTTTTTCTATGCATTTGTTAACACAAGACATGTTGAGATGGGCATATTGCTCTTAAATGCTTTTAGAATTGTTCAACAATAGACTGATATTTTTATGTAATTGTTATGTTAGTTTGATGTAGAATTAAAAGGTACAGAATATAATTCTCTAGCAGCTGAAACTAATGCATCTATTTCCATTTCTCTGCAACATCCAACTAGAAAGTATCTCCCTCTGTTTCTGACATTGGAGCCCCTTGTCATATTTCACGATTTCTATTTCCTTATCAGCCGATAGCACTTAGTAGGGTCCAGATTTGCCCACGAAATCTTTTAGAAATTAAGTGTTTCAAAACAAATCAATGTTATTTTGTCCTCATCTAAGAACTTTATTCAAATTCAAGTGTTACATGGAAAATGGATCACCCCAATAGATACTATCATACTGTTCCATCCCAATAGGTTGTGACCAGCTGGTAATTACATACGTCATGGTATTGTAGAGCTGAAAAGAGACCAAAGTTAATATGATCTTTCTCCAGGTATACTTGGAATCTGCACAACAACATCTTAACATTTCTCAGAAGATTATTCTTTTTCATAGAACGCCAATCTCCAAATAGCTCAGTAACACCAACCTTGTAGCTGCCTGTACCTTGGGGCTCCTTGCTTATGTAATACCTAAATTTTCACACTTAACTAATAAGATATGCCATCTACACACCAAAGGCAGAAGTACCTTATGATGCAAAGGTAGCCAGCCACATAGAAAGAGCCCTATATGTGAAGGGCCATTGACAGTTTCACTTTTGTTCTCTTTCCTTTAAATGGATGTTTACTACTGAGCAGCATTTTCTCAGGAAAAGGAGAGGAGACACTAAGAGAGGTTACTTTTGTGGTACCAAATTAGAAAGCCTGTCCTGCTAATCACCTCTTTCCATCGAGTCTCTTCTTTTCCATATGGCAATCTGTTAATTCAAACCAGGATAGGAAGAAGTAGACAAAAAGATGAAGGTGATGCCTATAAAACTTCAAGCTACAGTCTTTGCCTATTTTCAACCAAATCTTGGTTGCTTGTACTATCTTTTTCCCCCCCCCCAATACCTAAAAATAGTAACAGTAACAGAATTGGAAGGGACCTTGGAGGTCATCTATTCCAACCCCCTGCTCATGCAGGAGACCTATACTAGGGATTCGAATCGCCAAACTGCCTGGTTAAATAGTTAACCTCACTTCACGTGGCTTGCATAGATGGTCTTCCAGAGCTTTCCTATATGAACAGAGGCCAGAGGCTGCATAGGATCTCTTGCATACAATAAAAGATGCTCTTCTCTTGAGGGACAGCTGTTTCTCAAATCATCTGACATTTCAATAATCGTACGATTTGAGTTCTAAAACCTCTGGTCATTTTGCTCCCCTATGATTTTTTCCTGGATACCAACTATATCTGTGTATATACTAACTGTATTGTTAACATTATAGATACCTACTTAATGTGCAATAATAAATAAGGAAGATGCATTTTGATACAATGATTGAACCCCAATCCTTATTTCCCTTAAAACTACCTAGTAGTCCAGGCATGGATCAAAGGCCTGGCCTATTAGTTTCAACAATGTTTTATACATGTCTAATCCATTACAATATAACATGATTGGACAGCAAGACTGTTGATAAGATGACTTAGTAATTTGAAACTTTCTTATTTAAAAAAAAATCTCTACTTCAAAAGGGAATCCCCCCCCCCTCATTCCACCCTTGATCTCTTGCCAATGGACTGGATAAATACCTGCCTTGACTGTTGCTCAGATAATTTATTTGCTAAATTATCTCTCGGATCAAAATACTTAAGGAGCAGCAGTGACAGCTGGCAAGATCAAAAAATCTGATTTAATTTTATCTTTCTTTTTTTCAGTGATTGAATGAATTCAACCAACAAAGAAAACATCTCTGTGGGAGTAAAGAGAATAAGGCTTGGTTCAAGAGAGTTTGTAATTCCAACTTCCATATTTCACTCTTTATGTACTGCAAAAGCAAGGTGGAACTTATGTCCTTGGCATGAAGTGGACAACAACCTGCTTGACTGAAACAGGGTCCTGTCATTCTCATGGACTCCCTTGTGCCTGCTGTGTGATAGATGAAAAACCCTACGGATGGTTGTTTTTTTGGAAATATCTGTAACATGGGCACTTGTGCATTTTCCCCTCTTCACATCTTAAAGTTGCACTGTAACTGCAATTACATACAGGGGAAAAAATGGAAGTAATTTTGCTTTAGGGAGAGTTTTAAAAATGGGCTTTATTTGGCTGACTGTGAAGAGAGTTCGAGAAAGATTTTGATTCTCTTTCAATTCTCTTAACATGGGGGAAGCAACCTGATATTCTCAAGATATATTTGACAATTCCTACATTCCAGAGTGGATGGGAGTTGAAGTTGAAAACATCTAGAAAACACCAAGTTGCCTATGGTTACTCTTAACATTGGCAACTGTGATGTGTGCAGTCTTCAAGCAAGCAGGCAACATAGACTCAGGGATAGAAGTATTTGAGAAGCACCATGGTTATATATGTGTTCTGCCTGTTGGGTTTCAAGAAAGATCTTTCAAACTTTGGGCAGTATTGATTTCCACAGCATGATTGTTCTTTTCAGTTAAATAGCAGCTAAAATCTATCAGGGAAAATGTTTGGTAATCTTTGACATCCTTCCCCCTTTCTATCTCAGCACCTATTATCATAGTGGCCCTTATTATTATCCATTATGTAAAGTGACTCACAAAAATACCAGTAGCCTGCCATGAAAAGCTGCTCATTCAATTACTGACTTGCCTATATTCCTGCTTGCTAAAATAAGCCTTCATTTATTTGAGTTTGGATGCCTTTTTTTCCCCTTGAATTACAAATTTGAACTACAGGGATCAAACTCATAAAAGCATAAGAAATATCTTTAGCTGGTTTCTGCAGAGTGTTAAGAAACAGAGGTTTGGGGAAGGAATGATTTTATATTAAGTATTTGGGAATTTACAGTATTCAGACAATCTGTTGGAAGGTTCTTAAAAAGGAGTTATTCCGCTGAAAAATTGCATTTACCTATAGGTTCATGACTGCACTGGATTGCTGGATAGGATTAAAAAACACTCAGATCTAAATCCTCAATCGTCTAGTGAAAGATTACTGGGAAGAAAGTAGCAGTATTTAAGTATTACCAGCTGCTCTTTATTTTATATTGAAAAACACATTAGGGAACAAGGGCTATTATTCTGTCCTAACCCAACAGAATATTTAAATACATCAAATGTAGAATATCCTGAATTCTGAGCACTGTCTATTCTGAGACACTTTTGGCTTTGTGTTTAGTGGGGCTTATTAATGTGAATGCTCAAAGGTTCAAGACTACATATATTATGGGGTCCTTGGTGCTCTCTGAGCTTGGTTGTTTTCATTCAGATATTTCATTACCAACTAGGTAACATCATCAGTGATAGAAGTGAATGGGGATTTGCTCTCCGTTTATATACAGGTGATTCTCTTCTATTGGTACTGTAAATATTGGTCCATATAATTTCTCCATTTGAGCTGTGATCCCCATTTTGCACTGTCTATCCAAGCCCCCACTAGAATTTTTATAGGGAACATTTGCAAAATAAACAAGGGACTCGCAAAATGTAGGACTGTCAATATTTCAAAGTCAGAATTTCGTGAGACCCAAGGAACATATGCAATGAATGCCACTGCACTCCTATCATGCTTGGGATTTTCCCATAAGTCTCTGTCAGCCCTTTTAAAAGTCAGGATGCTCTATTAGATACATAGAGGGCTGGACAAATCCTTTAAATGGAATGCTTTGGAACAGGGGGAGCCCATAGGCAACATCAAATCATTAAAGCAACTGCTTTCAGCTGGAGAACATCAAGAGCAGTTTCTGAATAAAGATGCAGCTGCTTTAACACGTGCTTACATGTGTTCTGAGCAACCTCTTTTGAATAATTTGCAGAGTTCTGTTAAAAAGGCTTTTGACTGCTCCAAAGGGTTCTTTTCACATGCTTTAATTTAACATTTCATTCCTTGAATTCGGTAGCCAAATTTGTATTCTTCAGAAATAACGTTTGAAACAAGTGTAATCCGGGTTTAGAATAGGTTTATTTAACTACTGGAACATGATCCATCAAGAAACTGTTGAAGTGAATAGGAGCTGCACAAACAGGATTATCTTCTTGTACAGTCCTTGAAGAGGAGAATTGGCTTGTACCCAGAATCCCTTTTAAGCTTTGCAATGATGGGAATAGATTGCTGGCATGAGGAACATTTGAGGTATCCTTTTCTTAAGTTTGCACTCCCTAGAAATGATGCATGAAAATGTACATTCCGTGTCTGAAAAATAACAATGTTTATATCTAATGCCAATTACATCCTTTAAAACTGCACAGATTTCCATCATATTCATTTCGAATGCATATGGCATGCAGGATTCAGTCATAATGGAACTACAAGTTAAGACAGCCTGACAGGCACTGAACTAACTTCTATTTAATCTTAAATCTCCTATATAGTTTGCAGGTCATGTATTGTTTGAATCAGACATGTACTGTATTAGCATCTAAAATGTTTGTTGTGGTGCATGTATCTCTTACCTGTTGGAGACAACTTTATGTACTGGTCTATGAAGTAAGTTTTAGAAGTAAAATTGACAGTTGGCTAAATAGGTTGAGCCTGTTTTTGTTTTCCTAACTATAGTTTCAATTTTTTACACAAAGCAATGCTGATGTTTTAACAAAGATAAACATATTGACCTGAATGATACAAGAGAACATCCTTTTCTACATAGCTGCTTAATTTCATAACTTTTCTTTATCAATCGCCTTTGGTGATTGTTGTGTGTACATTTTTATAATCAGCCATGATTACCAGTTTCATAACTTCTTTCACAGAGAAGAAAGTCAAAATTGAAGTTTGGAGGAAAGACTTCACCCCTCCCCTAGCAATCTGAGCTTGGATCTGGATCCTGCATTCTTGCTCCTGAGAAGCTCCATAGCTGCACACAACCTGAGCAACTATACCTCCTATTTGTGGCCCACCAGGATTGCATTCAAACAATAGGCTAGCAGCTACTTTCCTAAAGAGTTTTGAGGCCTTCTTTCCATTCTCCCACCTCCAGGAAAGGGAATTTAAGACTATGCAATGATAATTGGATTTTGATGTACATCTGAACATTTTCAGGAGGATTATGGACCCACCTATGTTTAACCATTTTAAATCCCTCCTGTGGAACCACATGGGAAAAAATGGAAATAACCACATAGATTGGCCTATTTAGAAAAGTCCTGTTGTGAAAGGCCCCTCAGATACTTTGCCTCCCTTACTAACATTCAAACTAAAAATAACTCTAAACAAAACTGGATTAGTTTGGTACTACATTTAAGGCCTTCTGGTTTAGTTGGCTGAGAATGCAATTTTGCTATTCTTATGGTATTTTTTTTCCTTTCCGTGTTCCAGACAGAACCAATAGATAATTTCTTCTCTCAAATAATGGTTGGTCAAAGATTAGGGAGTCACCCTTATAGCTGAATGAGAATTTGAACCAAGTCCAATTTTGCACCTTTAATAAAATCAAGTAGGCTCACACACTATACAAAGTGAACCTACGGTATGTTAAATCAGTAGACTGTACAAGAGTGGCTGACCACATCATGTGTAAATTGTTTCTTTTGAGACAAACCCATTTCACAGAATTTTACCTGTATTTTATCCACTTTTACACCATTTGATATAAATCTTGTAAAGCACAAGCAAAGTGCAGTATTCCAGATATTGAACAGAGGAACAACACGGGGGTGGGGGTGGGGCAGGGGAGGATAACATGTCTTGAGGCAAATAATGTGATATATAAAAACCCACTTGATAAAAAGCATCCATGAAAAAGACCTAAAACAAGATGGATCTATGCCATCAGCAAGTATTGAGGGCCCAATTGGCAAAAGAAAGCTCAGGGCCATATTGGTTGGAAACCTGAGGAAGAGGTCTTCCTCCTGCAGTGGGTAGACAATAGCTAAAATGATGAATATAAATATATACACATATGTATATTTGTTTTCTTTCCTTTTCGTAGGCTTTATGTGTATTTCTCTTTAGCCAGGTTCTTCCTATGTAAACCAAGTTTTTTATGCAGCCCTAGTTTGGTGAAATCACAATCCACTAGTTTCTAGGCTTTTTTTTTCTGGACTTTCTTATAAGTCCTCATCAGTTAGCCACACCCTCATCCCATGTATCCTGGCTAAAGAGAAATACACATAAAGCCTACAAAAAGGAAAGAAAACAAATACTGTACCTTTACAGGGAGGATACAGTATATTTACAGTATATATATGGTATATGTGTGTGTGTGTGTGTACAGTTAATATTTCGGGTTTCTTCCCGTGTAATTGTGAACATATCCCTAAAACGGTAGAAGCGACGTTTTAGGGATATGTTCATAATTACACGGGAAGAAGCCCGAAATATTAACTGTACACACATATATACCAGTGAAAACTTACATAGACATATACATACATACATACATACATACATACATACATACATACATACATATATATATATATATATATATATATATATATATATTCTGAGGTTTTCGCGGGTGTTTGTATGTAGGTCTTTGATTATTCGGGTTTTCTCCCACGTAGAATTGGAAGTGTCTTGGCGACGTGTCGACGAAGTCTCATTCGTCATCTTCAGGCTGGTGTTTTCGGCTTTGTGCCTCCAGGAGCAATGTGTGATCGCAGCTGTTTCCTCCTTTTAACTGCCAATGGGGGTGTGAACTGATTGGGTGGGAGCTTGGCTGTGTTCTGATTGGGTGGAGGTGTGTTCTGATTGGTTGGGGGCTTGGCTGTGCTCTGATTGGATGGCGGGTTGGCTGTGCTCTGATTGGATGGGGGTGTGTTCTGTTTGTAACAACTGGCTTATTTAATTAACTGTTGTCATGGGGGGGAAGGGGGAGAAGGTTATTCCTTTTTATTGTTTTATATTAGGTTTTTATCTTTCAAGCCACCCAGAGCCACTGAAGAGTGTGTTGGGTTGCCCTATAAATTTAACTAGCTAACTAACTAACTAACTAACTAACTAACTAACTAAATAAATAAATAAATAAATAAATAAATAAACAAATAAATAAATAAATAAATAAATAAATAATATTAATACTTAGCTATTCCATTGTTGAAGTAATCTATTCTCTGCTTCCCGAATCCCAGCTGATCGGGAGGAAATGGGGATTTTGCAGTAACCTTCTCCTGGAGTGGGGTGGGAATGGAAGTTTTACAGTATCCTTTCCCTGCCACGCCCACCAAGCCACGCCCACCAAATAATGCCACGCTCACCAAGCCACATCCACAGAACCGGTAGTAAAAAATTTTGAAACCCACCACTGGTCCAGGCATATCCTTTTTTGGTAACTGGGCACTACCTTCATCACTATTGTGGCTTTGGCTGGCAAAGAGATCAGATGTTTGGCTTTTGCAATTGTCTGACTGGCATTTTATGACAACTTATATATACAGATTTAACACTCTTTTGG